TTGATTTAACAAAAAGGGGGAGAAGTGTGTGTTTTAAGTGTGTTTTAAAATGATAAATGGGAGAAGTGTTAAAGTAAGGGGGAGTAATTTCAAAACTTGATTTCAAAATCTTAAAATTACTAAAATGTTTTGTTATATCAAAAAGGGGGAGATTGTTGAAAACATTTTGATATTTCGATATAACAAATTAAGTTAAATGAATTTTAAGATTTTCCAAATGATTTTCTAAGTATATTCGATATAATTATTCGAATATCAAAACATTACTCCAAATATTTCAAAAATCATTTTTAATCCTTACTTAAGTGTAAAATTAAGTTATAATCTTAAAACAATTTCAAAATAATCTTTCAAAGTATTTCGAACCATTTCAAAGCCAAAAATTCCAGATTGCTCAGAGGGAACCGATTACCCCCCAAGGGGGTACCGATTCCCCCTGAATGGTTTGGCTCCGAGATTTCCAGAATGCTCGGAGGGAACCGATTCCCCCATAGGGGGTACCGATTCCCCCTGTTCAACGGTCGAAATATTTGAATTTTACACTTAGGGAACCGATCCCCTATGAGGGGGAACCGATTCCCCCACGCTCCAAGCATTTTTATTAAATGTTTTCACACTTAAACGGCTATATTATCTTCATTAATTATCCCCAACGTTCAAAAGTGATTCAAGGTGTATTTAAACAAGTTCTGAAGCCCTTGATCAACAAGAAATTATAGAGAAACAAGAGAGAAAGCATCAAACATCAAGTTTGTGCAAATTAATCCAATTTTCCTTTCAATATTCATTTTGCTTTCAAGAACACCATTTGTGCTCATTTGTAATTATCTTTGAGTGTTCTTTTCTTGTTCTAGAATTGTGCAAACATCTTACCTTGTGAGGTTTTCCTTGTAAGTTTGCAAATTTGTAATATTCTCTTTGGGAAAGAGTGTTCTCAAGAATTGGGGTATATTCTTGAGAGTGTTGTAAGGTTATCTCTTTGGCCTCAAAAGAAAGAACAAATTAGTGAATTTGTTGGAAAATCCTTAGTGTGGATAGCTAAGGTAGTGGACGTAGACTTTGATTGAGAAAGTCGAACCACTCTAAATCGCTGTACAATTACTTTCAATTTTCTGCAAAAGCTTCCACCAAATTTTTAATTGCCAATTCACCCCCTCTTGGCCAAATCCGTCAATCGATTAACTCAACAGAGACCTAATTGTCATAACCATTTTTAGGTGAAACAATTATTTATTATTTTAAAAACAATTATGATTTTAATTTTGGAAAAATTGGTGATTTTGAATTAAATTGGATAGAGTCGCCATCAACCTTTGGGTTAGGTAGGTCAAATACCTAAAAACGTCTTTTAAAAACAATTTTAAGAAAAATCATTTTCTAGACAAAAGCTGGTTTGCGTTTACCAAAGATTCAATTAAAATAGGTTCGGGAGTCGGTTACGCGTGGGGAAGGATTAGCACCCCCACAGCGCCCAAAATTGGTACTGTGTCGCTTACACGTTGTCGTAAATATGGAAATCACAAATCGAATATCAAGTTAAAATATGATCCATTTATTGAATATTAATTGGCTTCAAATTAATTAATTAATTAGAGAAAATTCTTTAATTTGAAAAGAAATCTCAATATTAGTAAGAGAAAACTATTTCATATATTTATTATATGTAAAAGAATATTATCTCATCTAATTATTCGAAAATATTAAAATTGAGCAATAACTCAATATCTGAATTTTACAGGAATTATCTAGAAACTTAAATTGTCAATACTTAAATTTAAATAGAATAAAATATCATAGAATAAAATAAAAATATCACCGTCAATTAATGGAATATTCGACAAAAATCTTAGCAAATAATAATATCAAATATAAGGGTATTTAATATCTTTAATAATAATAAAACACACATGTTCCATTATATATTTAATATTTAATGTTAACAAGGACGTCAAAACTAATTAAAATCTAAAATCCACAAAATAATATATATGATACTCAAACAATGATCAAAATGAACAAAGATCAAAATAGCCATAATCTATTAAGTAATTTAACCATAAGCTTATTTATCTATGTTTATATAGTGACCAAAAATAAAGCCTGTTACAATTAAAATCTATAAATCCAATATTAATTTATTAACAAAATTTGAAAATTGACATACGCATAAGTAAAATTAAAATTCCAATTTAAGTTAAATGATTCACATTAATATTATAAAAAACATGAGTAAGGAAGAAATGTATTCACACAAAATTAATCCAATGATAATAAAACAAATTTCACCTAAAAAGTTGGACCCCATCACATATTTGGCCTTTCAAAACTACTTTCCCCCCTTGTTTTTGAAGCAAAACCGACTGTTGAAGCATCGTATAGGATAAGGCTTTTGTTTTCTTTTCATTTTTTATTATATAATGTATATATATTGTAACATGTGGGCTACTACACTGGGCCTATGTAAAAGACAATACAAATGGACTCCTTTTTTTAAAAAAATATTACAAGTTTACTAAAAATGCAATTTTCCAATCTCAAACACAAGACACGTTAAAACCCTTTTCCAAACCCTATTTGTCTTCTCTCTGCCTCCTCTCATTTTATCTCCCTATTCTCTATTTTTTAACTTTCCAAACCTTCCAAAATCCTAAAACCGACCCCTTTCCTATGAAACTCGAAACTACAATTTTAAAAACTAAAACTTTTTACCTTCGTGATGAGATTCTTCTTCTCCGACGAGAGCTTCCAAAAATAAGGTAAACTTTTTTTTTCGTTTTCCTCCTTTTCTTCTGCGGAATTCCCCCCTTCTTTATGGTTGCCATCCTCACCGAATCCCCTTGTCCCTTTCCTTTTTTTTTCTTACGTTTTGGTAAGATGTTGATGGGTTAGGTGAGATTTGTTGAATTTGCTGACTTTGGTGATGGTTTATGTAGAATGTAGTTGTGTGGGTCTATAACTTTCACTAACAATTTTTTCCTTTTTAGCCTTCCATCCTGCACATAAATCCAATTAAGGATAGTGCCCACATCCTTGAATCTTGTCACTGCTAGTATGGTGCACGTGATGCGGTCTGTTGGTGAACATGTCGTGAAACTGCTGGGGAGATGTCTCGGGTCTGTATGTGGCCTGCATCAAAATATAAATTAGTTAATTAATTAATTAATAATAATAATAATAATAAATAATAATAATAATATTTATAATATTTTTAAGCCAGGTCAAAAACAGGTGTCTACACTAATGTTATGTTTTAGTTTTATTTTGATCATCTATTGTTAAAAAATTATTCAAATTGTTGATATGGTATTTTTTTTTACTTTTCTAATGATAAATAACATTATCTTATGATGACGCATCAACATTAACGTTAATTTTTTAAAGTTAATTTAAATTTTTAATTAATTCATTTTTAAAATTTATATAATTAATTGAATAAAAATACCAATACATATTTTTAAGGGTAAACCACACGTTTAGTACTCCAACTATCAATTTTGTTCCATTTTAGTCATTTGACTATCTTTTTCAAAATCATACCTAATATTTAGTTTTGGTTTTATTTTGGTCACTTATCATTAAAAAAATTAATAGAGATGTTGATGTGTCACCATAAGGTAATACCACATATCATTGAAAAAATATAACGTCAACAATTCTGTTACTTTTTAAACAGTGATTGATAAAAATGAAATCAAAACATAATATTAAATATGATTTTTCAAAAAATAATAATTAGGTGTCACAAAAGAAACAAAAGTAATAGTGAAGGTACTAAATCCGTGAGTGCTGAAGCCTGCTTTTTTTAACTGAAAAAAAAAGGAATGGCGCGTAAATATATTAGCGGTCAGCGTCCGGCGTGGCAGTGATTTTCCCCTCTGTTTCAAACTAGATACCTAGCTGCATGCCATCTTCATTTCCTTATATTTTCAACCATATGTAATCTATATATAAATTTAGTCAACTGAAGCCTGCGACGACCGCAATCACAATAAATCCAAAATAACCGAAACTGCAACCGCGATTTAAAATCATGCATTACACAACCATTCCACCTCCTCCCCTTACCTCTTTCTTCCTTCTTTCCTTCTTTTTCAACTGGAAATCTTTATCTGAAAGCTTTGCTTTTTTATCCCTTTAGATTTTCTTACATGCAGATTACAGTTGTATACATCTCTTAGGGTGTATTTGGTTCATGGAATGTAACATTACCTCTGAGAATAATATTACCGGAATGTTATATTACCTTACACATTACTGAGAATGTTACATTATTGTGTTTGGTTTGTTTGACATGAATGTATGATTACAGTGTTTGGTTAAAGGAATAAAAGATTATTGGAATGCATATTTTACTAAATTGTCATTATGATATTTTTTAACAAGTTGAATTCCAAATATTCAAATGAAAATATTTATATAAAAATTCATAGAAAATATATTATTGTATTACTTTTAATTTATATATTTTTTTATTAAATATAAAATTTATAAAATTTTTTATAAAATTTAAAAGATAAATGTGTAGATTAAAACAGTAAATATATCATATATTCTTTTAATCTTAATTAATATTTAAAAAATTATGATAATAAATAAATAAATAAAATTCCCTGTTGTGAATATTTTTGAAATAAAGTTATGATAATAAATTTATGATAATATACTATAGCTTTTGAAATAAAAGTAAGGGTATTTTTGAAATAAATCTTTTAGGATAAGGACATTTTAGTCGTTTAAGGGAAACAAAAAATACCTAAGCCCACCATGAGAATAGGATTCCCGATAATATTTGAAAAAAAGTTATTGTTGGTAATATTTTATTACCCCTACTAGGAATATTTGTCTATCCAAACATGGAATCACAAGTAGGAAAAAAATATTCCCACCAGTAATGTTAAAATCCTCCATCCAAACGCCCCTTACTGTAACCTTGCTTCTTTCCCCCAGAGGAAAAAAGTAAGAAAAAAAAGTAGAGTTATTGGTTTTGATTCTCAGCTCACATGATGTTTGATTTATTGTTGAAGCCAAAGTTCTATTCAAAATGGTTAGACAAACAAAACCCAGAGCTTCATTTTGCATTTTTTTTTGGTTTCTGGTTGTAATTTGTATTGAATTTTGGTTATTGTGTTTGTTGATTTCATTGGACTTTCGATTTTTTGTTTGTTTAGTAAATCGGCATTGAGGATTAATAAGGTGAGGCTTGAGACTATAAAGAAGAAGAGAAATGCGGTGGAGAACTTTTTGAAGAAAGACATTGCTGATCTTCTGAAGAACGATCTTGATTACAATGCTTATGGAAGGGTAATACTAATTTGGCCTTTGTTTTCTGTTTCTTCTTCCAAAGGTAATACTAATAAATTTTTCTTTGTTTTCTTAATACCTTGCTTCCCAAGCAACTCTCTCTCTCTCTCTCTCTATATATATATAATTATTCGCATACAGCCCCTTACGTTTGCTTGCTTGTTTTGTTTGTGTTGGCATGTGGTGGAGCATATCCGTAATGATTGGTTTTTTTTAATATTTTGTGGCTTCTCTTCTCATTTGTTGTTCGTTGTAAACATCTATTTGATGGAGATTATTTGCTTCTCCAGAGATTCGTGGCATCCATCAGGGCTCATGTGCATTCACTGGAAAGACAACCGTCTTTCATTATCCGTCTCATTTATAACTATTTCGTTCTTAGTTTTTTTTTGTTGGTATATTAAAAGTTTAGGTAAGGGATGTCTCCCCAGTCCAAGGCATACCTAAGACTTAATTGGGATTTACATAAGAATTTATAGATTGTCCACCAAAAGTAACGGTGGTAGAATTCGAACTTGGCATTATAAACTCAAATTCATGAATCTTACCCACTTGTGCCAACACTCATTGGCTAATTAGATGTAGCTTTAATTACTTGGCTAATAAGTTATAGCTCCTGACTACTGTGTATGCTATTGCAGGCTGAAGGTCTCATGATTGAGCAAAACCGAACCGCCTGTTACAAATTCATAGAGCAGTTTTCTCAGTGCATCTCAAAGCACGTCTCTCTTATGCAAAAACAGAGGTATGCACGTCTCCATTGATAATTGATTATACAATTCTTGTGTTCATCTACTTCTTTTCCATTACAGTGAGTTCCCCGAGGAATGCAGAGAAGCGGTAGCATCTCTCATATATGCCGCAGCCCGATTTGCCGGAACTACGCACCCTTAGAAAGTTGTTTACTGAGAAATACGTAAATCCCTTAGAACCCTATTTAAATAGAGAGGTAATAGATACATTAGATGGCTTGAAGTTGTTTTCTTCTTTTCTTTTAAGACAATATTAAAATTCACAAGTAATGTTAGATAAAATTTCTATATTAGTTTTTATTCTTTTCTTGAAATACTTTAACCCAATATTTCATTTTGGATGGATAAAAATTGTTAATTGATTAATGATCACTTCTTGTTATTGACGTGATAAATTCTATATATTCAAATTGATGATGTGACATGTGATAAATATTATGTCATCACTTATGTACACGTAACATTAAGGATGACATACATGTACAATTTCGTAGATTTTATACTTGCTCCAATTGGGGTAGGGATGGATTTAAGTTTAGTGGGTAGTCAGCGGATGTGAATGTAAAAAGTCACACTCGCAGTGGGTAGTTGATAAGTGATGGGTTTGAGACCTTACCCGCCCCGTATCCGTCTGTCTCACATCCGCCCGCCTACTAACTACCCACTATGTAAATTTTAAACCATTATGAATTTAAGTATAATTTCAAAGATTATTATGTAAATCTTAAGATTTTATAAGACATGATTTGTAATTTAACCAAATGTTAGGGTATAAGCATTTTTAAAATTGAAGACCGTCGTTTCTCATATCTCAAGTCGGAGGGTATGAGCAGGTATAGATGTATACATGATGAGTGGTTAATATCTAGTTAGGTAGTGTGTGTGGAGATGAATTTAAGAATATACCTACGTGGGTATGTGTGGATTTGAAAATTTTATCCGTAGTTGGTGGTGGATAGGTGGTGGATATGAAAATATTAAGTGGGTATGAGAATGGGGTATCAGCACCCACCCCGGTTGTTTGCCATCCCTGCATAACATGTGTCATATAATCAGTTATCTACACGTATCACATGCTATGTTATCACTTATATACATATGATATGTGTCACGTCATCTTTTTAAATACGTGAATGTGTCGCGTCATCAATTCGTATTCATAAGACTTGTCATATCAACGAAAAATATTTAATTGTTAGTCAATTAACGATTTACATCTACTCATGAACTTTTTTATCTTACAATAAAATGGAGGGGGTTTGAGCTAAAGATATAAAAAAAAAAACTAAAATGATTATTTATTTAAACGTTAAATACATTTTTTATCATTATACCTTCGTTTAAGTAGTAACCAAATAGTTGCTTATATACAGTTTGTAGAGAAACTTCAAGGGGAGCCTCCTACAAAGGAGACGAAGCTTCAAATGATGCATGCACTCCGAGGCTTTGGACCAGACACTGTTTAAGCCACCTCCATCGGAACAAGTCTCTCCCTGTTGATTTTCTTAGCGTGATCATATTAAACGAAGTATCGGAACAACTTTGAACAGTTTTACTGTAACGATATACCACTATTGCTCAATGGAAGATGATGATTCTCCAAGGCTGGTGCTAGTTGCTGTTGTAACATGTAATTACATATTGGTTTTTCTTGCAGTACAAAGCTCTGCACAGATGAAGGCGATGACGATGGATACAAGTCGTTCAGAAGCGAGGATGATACAGTGAGGTTACACTCATTTTGGGTATCTTTCAATCCATTATCAGTGTTCCGAAGATAAATGATAATGTCTGTGATCTGAATTTTATCCGATTCAGTTTGAAAATTTTGTGGTGTGATTCGTTTGATAAAAAATAAATTAAGAGGGAAAAAAAGTGTAGGAATATGTAGAGGGTGGAAAGGATTTCTCAATACTTTCTAGGCATGGGCATGGATTGGGTTTTTGGTCCATCCGACCCGACCTGAAAACAAGAGATCCTTCACCCAAGACCGACCCAACCCGACCAAAATAAGATTTTACCCGATCGAAATCCGACCCAATATATAACTTAGAAACACGACCCGCCCCGAAATAATAATAAAAACTATTCAATAAAAACAATGACTTAATTGAAAAAAAATATATAGAGAGAGAGGTATTATTGTAATTATTCATAAATATATAAGGTAAAATTATATATTTTTTCGTTTCGGGTCAAAACCCGTCGGGTTCGGGTCTCATGCCCATCCCTAATATTTTCGAATGACAGTCTTGTGATTTGTTGTTGTTAACTTAATTAAAATAAAATATTTATTATATTATTTTTCATAATCTTTTTTAGTTAAACTATAACAGTGACTATCTAACTATTGTCCTTTTCATCTTGACCATCATTTTTGAAATTTTATCAATAAGGTCACTAAATTATTTAAATGCAGTCAATCAAGCCACTTAACGTTAACAATTAACGGAAGTGTTGACGTGATAATTAATAAAATTTATATAATTACACATTTAGTCCTTATTACTTACACAACCTATCAAATTGATCATATTTTAAAAATAATTCAATAAAAAACCTTATTTAAATATTAGTGACAATTTGTGTCTAATATAAATGGATGATGTTACCCAAAATAAAATACACAAACTACTGAGTCAACTAATGGATGCTGTTTTGTTGATTGAGAACGAGGAGGGAACTCTTTTTTATGTGTCTAATATATTGTCATTAAGTGAGTCGGGCTCATTGACTTTCCACCTTCAAGAGTTGGAATTGGACATGGAATCCCAACCAATCTTACTAGTTTGGCCTTTTTTTAAATGGATTCTAAGTGGGTCAAATTAAATTTTTTAAATTATGAGTTTTGGTCATGAAAAATATCTGACATGACTTAAAAAAATAATTTAAGTATACCTTATATATTTAGGGATAGTTATAATAATAATCATTTTTATATTTTTTCAAGTAGATACTATTTTATCAATATATATATATATATTTGTATCGGGTCGGATTGAGTGCGAATTTTATCTCAAAAGGAAGGCGGAATAGGCCCATTTATGAGATTTTAGATGCTTAGAGCAAACATAAAAATTAGAGCCCTGATAACAAATTTCTAAAAAAAATTGAATTATATATAAGAACAAACATAACTAAACAAATTTGCTTATAATTTATTTTTATTACATTTAATAAACTATCTAATTAAATAAACTATCTAATAGATACATTAAATTTTAAATAGAAAACATCAAAAAAATTATTAAACACTCAACTACCTGCACAAAACAAGTATGATCCTCTTTTAGGAGGATATATGCTAGATTTTAATTTTCTCCATCTTTTAAAAAAAATAATAAAAGAATAATTAAGTGGAAAGTGAAAAAATAGTTTAAAAATACGACATCATCATTGTCGTTAATTTTTTAACCATGAATAATAAAAATTAAAATATAACATTAATTATGATTTTAAAATAAATAGATGGTCAAAATAGAACTAAAATAGTAGGTGGACGACAATATAGATAATATATCATTTTTATTTATATGTGAACTTTTAATTTTGAGGGTTTTTTTTTTGTCCAGGCTCAAGGATGGACATGATCGAATAAAATCATCTTAAATCCGAATCAAGAGTAATGAAAATTTTCTCCCTTATAATTAAAAATAATAATAATTGGACTAGACTTTGAGTTAATATCCGACGGCACCCCCAAGCCATCTTTATTTCAAATCTTATTTATGTTCAAATATTAACATACAAACAGTCGAGCACATAAAACTCACGGATCAATCAATGGGTTCCAACCCTAAAAAATGATCCCAGTCTGGCTCTTAAAAACAACAAATGGGCTATTCCCAGAAGCATCTCAAGAGGTTGATGAGGAAACGGAACAAGTAGTTCTCAGGACACAGCAACTCACGTCGAACCAATCGTTCCAAGTTGAGGTTCCGAGGAAGAAGATGACTGTAATATAGCATGGTCGTCAACGAGGCCACTGGCCGATTCACTAGCGCTGTCACTAGCCTTGCTACTGTAATAACCATCCGACACTGGAAAAACTTATCATCATTGTACCTCTGATAATGAAAACTCAAACATTTCTATTGCAGTGACGGATCTAACAACTTAAGAATAGAGGTCCAAAATTTTAATTTTTTTATTTTTTAAATAATGGGTATGTATTTTTTTTCTTAACACATTAAGTTAAATTTAATTATTTTATCAAAATAATAGGACGTACTTGGCCCCTATACGGGTTTAGTGCATCCGCCCCTATCCTATAGGCGACATGCTCGAATTTAAAAATTTTAAGAATAACAATCGTTCTTTAACCATAGATACTTAGAACTTATAAAAATAAACAAAACACTGGGATGCATACATATATGTACCATGGTTTAGCTCTGTGACCGACAATCACTGAGGAAGGTGAGTTGATTGACGATAAACTGAGTCAACCCAGGAGACTGAGCGAGGACTGAGTCAATCTTCAGCTGATGTTCATGGCTCTCAAAACTCATTGTCCTCCTTCATGTTTATGCATATATTTTGCCTATGTATACATTAAAACAAATGTTAATAATAAATTTTATTCCACCTACCTAATACATGGTTTTCAATTGGTAGAAAATCTGGAGTTTTTCTGAGAAGATTTGCTTTTATTTCTACTCTTCAATTCTAGGATTTTTACCAACTTTATTTACCCCTAGTGAATTAATTATACTAACTTTTAAGTGGATTTTGGTTAAAAATAGTCTCAATCCAAATTAACTGTTGACATGGATGCAATAGAATTGTAATATAACCACAAAACCAGACAACTTTGTGCCAACTTACCTATACCTTTCTTTCTCTGATACGATCCCAAATCCACTTACTATATCAACCAAAGTCCAATTGACATGACCCCTGTTAAACAATCTCTCAAACCTCACCTCTAAGTTTCGATAGCTTGGTCAGAACCCAACTAAAAGTAGGCTTACAAACAACGTACCTAAAATCAGCATGCTTCATCATATATTATTTAATCCAAGCAACCCACAATGATCCTTCATCAGCCAAAATCTTCTTAACTAACATCAACAAGTCCTGCTCCAACAATGAAGGCTCCTCAATCCCATCCACCTTTAGATTTAGCAGAACAAATGGCATTCCATCTAACACGAGCCCCTCTAGCTGAATCCTCATTCCCACACCAAAAGAATCTACTACAAAGTTGCTCAATCTTTTGAATGACAACTTTAGGAAGAATTAATTGTTTGCTCCAATAATTAAAAACACTAAAGAGAATTTCTCTGATAAGCTGCAATCGTCCACCATAACTAAGCTTCTTGCTGGCTCACAAAGCGAACTTGCTTCTAACCTTTTCCACTAAAGCCAACAATCAGACTCAGTGAGTTTCCTGATCACCAAAGGAACACCCAAATACCTCACAGGGAGGCGCCCCTCCTTGAACCCCGTAGCTATTTTGATTAAGTCGAGTTGACTCCCCGCCACACCACAAGCAAACAATCCAGTCTTCTCAGCATTAAGCTTAAGACCACACAACTCATAGAAAACCTCCAAGACACAGAACTCCCACAACAGAGTCCACCGAACCCTGGGAAAAACGAGGATATCATCAGCTAAAGAAAGATGCGTGAGTCCAACCCTCCTACACTTAGGATGATACCTAACAAGACCAATCTTAACAGCATTATCCAAAAGAGCAGACAACAGATTGATTGTCAAAACAAAAAAAATAAGGCGACAGGGGGTCTCCCTGCCAAACACCTCTGCCCCCTTTAAAATAACCCAGTAAACTGCTTTAATTTATCTTTATTTTATTTCTCAATAATTCCATAATATATATAGCTTTTGTGAATAAATTATTTAGAAATCAAATATAGGACAAATTGAAAAGATTTGTAGATGTTGAGGTTAAATTTATTGAATTATTTTTAAATTAAGATCAATGAAAAGAATCTATAAGTTTTAAGAATTAAAATATTATTATATTGTGTCACATTATCATTTTTTTTAATCTTCTCACGGCAAGTGATCAAAATATAAAGCTTTAACATTAGTGATCAAATTTGCAGACAAAATAGAATTACACTCCGCCCCCCCCCCCCACTCTTTCTTAATTCAACACAGTATCGTAGGGTTCATCCCGAATCAACTCAGCTCCAATGGTAAACGACATTCTTCTTTTCCTTTTCTTCTATTTTGTCTTATTTTTCTTCTCGCGGCCTGTTTTAATATATTCGTCAATGAAACGGATATGTTAATTTGCAGGGAAAGGGAACCGGGAGTTTTGGTAAAAGAAGGAACAAGACCCACACTCTCTGCGTTAGATGTGGCCGCCGCAGCTTCCACCTCCAGAAGAGCCGTTGCTCCGCCTGTGCTTTCCCCGCCGCCCGTAAGAGGAAATGTAAGCTGCCTCTCTTTCAACTCTAAAGCTTCAATTTTTTGTTTTTATTGATTGAATCTTCTTCCCTATCTGGATTTCTTTTTGTTTAGCTGTTTGAGAATCTGGGTTTTTTGTTTTCCCTTGAATTTGTTTGTTTGGTTCTGATTGAAGTTCATTTGCCTAAAAACAATGAAGAAAGATATACTTGCAGGAATGTGAATGCATTTCTTTCTGAAATCTTGACTTGCATAATAGTACTTGTAGTTTACCTGTCATGATTTTAGTATTCTTCGGTTTAATCAAGCAATAAATGTTCTTATACTGGCAATTTTGTGAATGGAAATGGGTGTCACATTCTTGTTTGAATATGATAAGCTGGCAACTTGAACTTTTAAAATTGAAAACAGATTTTCAATAGAAATTATATTGAAAAAAATATAAAATATATAGTAATTTTAAAATTTCAGTGGGGCTACTGCCCCCATCCCGTCCATCCCTGTATGCTGGTCTGATTCTTCGCTCTTCTTGAATTGCCCTTGGACATGGCTGCGGATATATAAACTTGAGTCCAAAACAGGCTATAAATTGGATATTAGATGTTTGCGTATGCTTTGTGTTTTTGTGTTAATTGTTAAGCCCAAAGGGAAATCTTCCATGAATTTTTTGGTTCAGATTACTGGAGTGTGAAGGCAATCCGAAGAAAGACAACAGGAACCGGTAGGATGAGGTATCTATGCCACGTTCCTCGCAGGTTCAAGACCGGTTTCAGAGAAGGTAGGAAAATGCTCCTTTCCTTGAGCTCTTTGCTTTCTGATTTTAGTTTACTTGCGTATGAAGTATGAACATTTTCTCTTCCTTTCAATAAGAAATTCATTTTCATTCTCTTCATATTGTTCGTATTTTTACTCCGGAATGGATCATGATCTATATAGGTACTGAAGCAGCACCGAGGAAGAAGGTTGCCACAAATTCCGCTTAAAAGGTGATTTGTATTGGTATGGAGGTTTTGTTCCGGATGATGCCATCTTTGTGAGGGAAGAAGTTATATGGGAAACATTTAGTCTTGAGGAGTGACATTATCTTTAACATTGAATGCATTAGGTTTGTTTTCTAGTTTATATTTTGAACAATTATTGATGGATCTAATGTTTGACTTAATTTCTTATTTCTCTCATTCTCTCTTTTTTGAAGTTGATCAATGTTTCTTGTTTCGTAGTAGATGCCCTTTAGATTGATGGATCAAAATTGGGTTTTCTTATTTTTTTTAATGGGTAAAATAGTCACTCAATTACATTATTTTTTTGGGAAAAATGAGAAATTTTTAAAACTTATAATATAATCACTAAATTTAAATATTATGACGAAGTGGTGATTTCATTCATTGTTAAATGGTTAAACTACGCCAATGGTACTTAATGTTTGGGTAAGTGTTCCTTTTCACCATTAATGTTTCAAAAGTCACAAATTGATCACTAATGCTATCGTTTGTTATAAAATGATCACTCGGCGTTAACAGTCGTTAACAAACCGTTATTACGGTAACAAAATGTTGATGTGACACGATAAACCCGTTGACTCAGCACGTTAACAACATGTTTGAGAGGGAAAGACAAAGATTGATGGAAAAAGAAATTGATTGGATGTCGTAATAACGGTTTGTTAACGATTGTTAACGTCGAGTGATCATTTTATCGTGTCACATCAACATTTTGTTACAGTAATAACGGTTTGTTAACGACTGTTAACGCCGAATGGCCATTTTATAACAAACGATAGCATTAGTGAACAATTTGTGACTTTTCAAACATTAATGTTGAAAAGGAACACTTACCCAAACATTAGTTACCATCGGCATAGTTTAACCATTTAACAATGAATGAAATTGATTGGATGTCGTTAACAAACGTAATTACGGTAACAAGTAGAGAAATTTCAAGGTTCAATAAAGCTATGGGAAAATGGCTGGAATTTGAATTCAAAGAATGAATTTTTAGGGAAAAAATATTTTCCTATTGATGAAAAGTTTGATTTTAAGAGGCTATAAATATAATATTTTCTACATACTTTACTGATCCTTGGAAACCCTAATTTTCATAATCACTTTTCATTTTTCTCTCTTACTATCACCATGACAATTTAGAACCTTTTGGAAACATCACTTAAACATTGAGCAACCAACAACCGTGAGAACGGTAGTCAACGATCGATTTAGAGTCATCATTGTGATTTAGATCAAACTTGAGAAGGGAGATTTATTTTGTTAAGATGGTTTGTTTTCATTTCACGTTGAAATGTTAAACTTGGATCTTTATTTTGAATATATTTGATGAGTTTTATGTTTATTCGTTTTGCCTTGGTATCATTGATTGGTGTTGCTTGAGTTTTATTTTTGGTTGTTTGTAGAGATATAAACTACTCAGTAATGCTACAAGAGTTGGTTACATCATGAATAACATCAGCGTCTGTGAGAAAAATATCTAGCATAAAAGAAATTTTTGCTGACTGTTTTGTCGTAGCATTCTTAGTACGCTTATATAGTCCTTCTTGTAAGTTGGTGAATATTTTCGAGAGAAGAATAATATGCTAAGTTAATGCTAGACACATCAATCATGTAGTCATAGCATTGTTAATTGTATGTTGTTGTTTGACATTTCACAATTCTTTGCCTAAATTGATCATTGCTTCATTTATTTGTGATGTAATCCAATTTATTCTATTTTGTTTTCAATTACATTGCTATAAAAGTGCTCCCTACACCAATTGTACAAAATTTTACGTTTATTTAATAACAATTTTCTGAAGTAATACTATTCCCTGTGGATATGATACTTGATGCATTAGGTGTGTCCACCCTTACTACTTGATAGACGATAATGTATGCTTGCATTGATTGTTGTTACATTATTAGAAGCATAATGGATTATGATGTTTACTACAATCATTTGGAGACTCTAGATTATGCGTTATAAGAAGATATTTGTTCCGAATGAAAATATGCAGAATGATTATGGGCTTTGGCATAATATAGTTAACACCACAAAGGAGGTTCTTATGGCTAACGATAAACTAACTCAGAATTTCACCGGTAGCTTTCACGTTATATGGTCACCTCCAAGAATATGGAGCTTTAAGTTGAATACTTATGGAGTTTGGCAAGGAAACCCAAGGGTCTCGGGAGTGGGAGGCATTTTGCATAATGAAACAGGAAACTAGTTGTTGGGTTTCTCTGCTCATTTGGGTATTTGCACTAGTGCTGCTGCTGAACTTTATGCGATAAGGATTGGATTGTCTATTGAGAACATGGCTATAAGACCATTGAATGCGAAGTAGATGTCCAGGTGGTGATTCAACTTATCAAGAACGATGATACCGCCTTACATCTGTTAGGAGTTATTATAGAAGACATTTGAAGCTTTCAGTTGCTTGATTGGGATCTTACCTTCCACCATGCCTACCGCGAAGGAAACTGCTGTGCTGATGTTTTCTCCAAGATGAGTTGTTCTCCAGATGAATAACTAGTAACTTTTTAGTCTCCACCAGATGAAGTCTCACATTTCCTGGAGGCCGAGTATCCTTTCCGAGATGAAAATTAAATTTTAAAGATGTATGTTTTTAAGTAAAAATCTCTAAAATGGGTACAAAAGGGAAAAAGAAAAGTTTAAATGCTAATTGATAGAAAACTTTGTTTTCATGCATAGCAGCAAAGAATGCTTTTGCTATCATAAAGTGCAACCAATCCAAACGCAGAGGAGTTAAAGCGTGTAGAATTCGTCTACTTAACAAACAAAAAATAGAAAAAAAGACAATAATTTTTCTCATTAGTTATATAATTTATATTTCAAGGAAATATATATATATACTAATAATAGTGCTACAGTGTAGTTGTATGATATAAAGATATATAAGCAAGCATTGAAATAATAAAGATATTGATGGAAAAGATTTATTTATGGAGTTACAAATTTTGCAGAAAATATTGTCATATGAAACACACAAAGGTGAAAGTCCATGGACATCTATTCAAATAATGGAGTTTGCAAGAAGAATGGATATATTTCCTAATGTGTTGATAGCATATAAAATTTTGTTGACGGTACCGGTTACGGTTGCTTCCGCGGAAAGAAGTTTTTCAAAATTGAAGCTCTTGAAATCCTATCTTCGAAGCACGATGACTCAAGATAAATTGAACGGATTAACAATTCTAAGTATCGAAAATCAATTTTTACAAAGTCTTGATTATCGTAAAATAATAGAGGTTTTTGCTTCAAAAAATGCATAAAGGCATCATTTTAGGTGATATTTGTAGCATTGTAGTTTTTGGTTTGTATTAGTATCGATATTGTTTGACTATAATTTCTATTATATTTTTGTTTAAAAAAATTATTTATGTTTTGTCTATTATACGGTACAAGTATAGGGGCATAAAATTATTATCTCGCACATGGCATTAAAACTCATTAGACCGACCCTGCCGAGAGGGTTTACTATGAACTAGCCTTTTATGTTTTTCATTTGTAATAAAAAAGAAAGAAAAATGGGTATGCAAACTTCTTTATTTTTTTCATTCCCCTTGATAAATTAAACTAAATTTAATAAAATAATGAGTGTGCAATTGACCTATATCCACTCTTGTTTCTACGTTGATCGTGGTTCCTCTTCCTTCTGTGGGTTGGGAGTGATTTTGTTTAAAGCTGGGGTAAATAATATTAGAGTAGAGAGTGTTGAAGCAATGGTCTTTAAAGAATTGTATAGGTGACCACACAGTTGTAGGTGAGCTGGCGGGCACAAGGGAGAAGGCAGCAAGAAGCTAGCAGAAGTGTGGGCTAAAATTTTGGCAAAGATGAAATATTAGAAAAAGGGTAAACAAAAATTTTGTCCATAAACTATTTTGGATTTACAAAAAATTTATAAATAGTATTTTATTTAAAGTTGAGGTGTTCAAACAAAAATTAAATTATTCTACTAATGAGTCACATTATCAAACTAATAACAATCAACGTTTCAGTGACTAAAACTTAATAAGAAACTAACGAAGTGACCAAAAATTAATTTTTTTAAATTTAATAAAAAAATGTACAAATATTAAATGAAAGTAATCAATCATGTAGTTTACTCATATTTTAATTAAATAACTAAATTTAAAAAAACTATCCATTTCAAACTCATAATTAAATGATTCTTTTATAAATATAAATAAATATAAGATAGTGTCTGTTCAAATACTATAAATCATTTAATAATGAACACTCATACTACTGTTGTATTACATATGTAGTGTTCGAACCCGAGATATCAATGAATAATAATAAATTTTAAATCATTAAGATCACTTGATTCGTACATAATTAAATAACCTTAAATCCATTTTATCCATATCTAAAAGCCAATGCATAGTGTTGTTTAAGATTTTAGATTTATACTATCCATAGAATATTTGAAAAGAATGTAAATATTAAAGTTTGAATAGTATGTTTTAAAATAATAACCTTAACTTCTGTTTTAGGAATAATTATTCGTAATTCAGAAGGCTTGATTATGGTTGCAGGAACTTACCCAGATTCTTATGTGGCAAATCTGGAGCAAGCTGAAGCAATTGCTTGTGAGCAGGCCCTTACAAAGACTTTAAATTATTCAGTTTAGTCCATATTTAAGATTTTAGACATTACATTTGTTGATAATTAGTAAATAACATAATGGAGAAGAAAGAGAAGTCTTTTATTTTTATATGTTATGAACAGTGAAAATACATATTTCTTTTATAGGAAAAGTTAGGAGTAAGTTTCCTATTAGAAATAAACTACCTAGCAGCTATCTTTATCTATCTAAACCTACACTTCCTCTCAAGTTGGGGAGTAAATGTTGAAAAGACCCAACTTGGATATAATCTCATCAAAGGTAATTCTTGGAAGTGCTTTGGTGAGAATATCTACTAACTGATTCTTTGTTGAAACATAATTGAGCTTCACCGATCCACCATTCACCTTTTCAGAGATGAAATGTCTGTCAATCTCCACATTCTTCAATCGGTCATGATGAACTGGATTATTCGCAATACTTATTGCAGATTTACTGTCACTCTGAAGTTCAAACCATTTGTTGGCACATAACCCCAGTTCAGTTAACATTCTTTGAAGCCAAATTCCTTCGCAAATTCCAAGTGTCATTGCTCTAAATTCTGTTTTTGCACTAC